AAAGGACATCAAGACACAAACTACCAACGAGCTGGTGAGCAAGACTCTACCCCACACAAAATTGTCCAGCACTGGCTGAAACTGAGCCAATCACAAGCAGTGGGTTAAAACACAACAGCTTTTCTATAGGCTGTCACTGTAGTCACAACTTCCCTGATCAACATTCCAGAGTAGGTCACAAATGCTCCATCTAAAATCCTCCCTTTCCCAGTTAAAAATGGAAGGGTGCCAGGGTGCCCAGCAAGGGAGAACAAATGCTCTTCCATCCTATTAATTAGACTATGGAGCAGCAGTTCTCAACCTGTGGGTTGCGACACCTCTGTAACAATGAAAATACATCACGGCATTAGGAAGGTTGAGAACCACTGCCTTAGAGGGTAAGATCCAGGTAAGAAGAAACCATCAAAGGAACCCAGGAAAAATGAAAACGTAAAATAGTTCAGCATCCCCAAGGGATCACAATGGAGCTACAGAAGTAGATTCCATCCACATGGACACTGCCGAAATGATAGAAATGGATTTAATAATATGAATGGAATCTAAAGATAAATTGAAGAAAAAGTTGAAGACCAACAAAAATAACCCAAAGAACACTTTAGAAAAGTAACAACAAAGTCACTAAAGAGGCAGATAAAATAACACAGGATGTAACACAACTTAAAGGAAACAGTCATTTGCAGAACCTCAAAACATAACAAAAAGTATCAGCAACAGATTAAACCAAAGAGAAGAAAGGATCTCAAAGCTTACAAGACAAGACTCTAGATAAGCCAGTCATACAGAAACAGAAAAGAGTGTTAAAAAGTCTGAGGAATCACAAAAAATCATGTCAACCAAACATTCAAATTCCAGGTATTTCTGAGAGAGAATAAAGAACTAAAGTGTAAAGAAACTATTTGAGAAAATTACAGTATAACCTTCATCGTTGGCCTCCTCAAGTTGACCTAATTGTCATAGACCAGACCTGCACCACATGTACATATCAGTACAGCAAGCCTAGTTTCTTATGTGGACCACCTCTATATGTTGACCAGTTTGTTACAGAACTTTCAGAGGTTCTACCGCATTAAGAAAACTTCCCAGGTATCACCAGAGATTCAGACATTCAGATACAAGATGGTTATCAACTACTGGGAAGATTTATAGCAAATAGGCCATCTCCAAAATACATAGTAATCAATTTGGCTAAAGTTTAATATAAAAAGCAGCTAGACTAAGCAAGAGTTGACATAAAATGAAAACTTAGACTGCGTGTGATGGCTCCCCCTATAATCCTAGCAAATCAGGAGGCCGAGGTGGGTGGAGCTCCTGAGATCAGAAATTTGAGACCAGCTTGAGCAAGAGACCTTGTCTCTGAAAAAAATATCTATCTATATCTATCTATCTATCTATCTATCTATCTCTATCTATCTATCTGTCGATCGCCAGGCATAGTAGTGGGTGCCAGAGGACCACTTGAACCCAAGAGTTTAAGGTTGCTGTCAGGTACCAGGATGCCATAGCACTCTACCCAGGATGACAGAGATTCTGTCTCAAAAAAATAATAAAAATGTCAAGCTTATAGAAGCAGAGAGTGTCAAAGTGGTTGCCAGGACCTAGGCTGGAAAAAAATGGAGTTGTTCAAACTTTTGGTTATAAGGTAAATGTTTA